TGCATTTTTTGGACAGAGATTCACTTTTAATGTGTATGTATAATATAATACAGATACATAAAAAACACTCCCAAAACAGAATAAATTATTACAAAATATTAATTAAAAAAACTATAAAAATGGAGGCAACTTTGCCTGTGGTACAATGTATACAATGTATGAAAAAATCTTTACTGCAGATACTAATTTTACTAATTTAATAATACTAATTTTATGTTGTAAGATTTATGAGTTTCATGCTTTCATAGTGGTACTTGGGAGAGCTTGACATTTTTATCAGGTAGTACACACTGTAAAAAGTTTGAGAAACACTGAAAAGGTAAGTGTCCTTTTGGAAAACATTTAAAGCTGCTGTACAGAATCTTTTGAAACAAGCTTAAAACATTTTTAGAATATAAACAGAGCACTCTGCTTCTCTTTACAGCTCCTCACTCCACCAGGGCACCATTTGGCACTTTCTGATAGTGTGCAAATGTGATGTACGTACTGCGTAGGGCTGGGTATCGTCACTGATTTCTAGAATTGATTCGATTCTGTTTCACAAGGTCCTGAATCGATTCGATCAACGATTCGATTCGATACAATTCAATTAGATTTGATTCAATTCAATTTGAATCTGGGAAATTTTGCCTCAGACAGTCAGAAATATTATAATTCAAATCAGTACATTTACATATTTTTGTATCTATAAAAAGGAAGCTGACACTTGCGAGACTTTATCAAAGGTGTGAGCATCACAGCAGATGCCTTTGTGTCAAAGTAGCTGAAGATAAAACACAGAAAAACATGAAGGTGATTTTCCTGGGATTTTATAAAAATATTCTGCAGTACATCAAAAACGAAAGAAAAACATTAATCAACACATGAACATTACCTCTGAAGTTACAGCGGTTTTATTAGAGACAAGGCTAAGCATTTTGTATTTTGCATAATTTTAAAAAGTTTAAATTTGTTCAGTATTGAACGGCAGAAATTAGGTTTTCTTTTCGGAAGTAAGTAAAAGGAAAAAAAACATTGGCCGACAGCGCTGTAAATAACGGTAGTCTTGTGGTTAACAAGCAAATGAATAATGCAGAAAACAAATTTCGGGGATAGACGGGAAACTGTTCTTGAAGTACAGAGAGAGAGCTGTGCATGAAGTGTGATCTTATTGTGGTGGAAGCAAAACAGCAAAAGTATGACAATGTTTATGTGAAGCTCAGTTTGGATCTTCTTTTGCTGCTGGTTCAGTCAATATTGTTTGGAAAGAGATAAAACTAACAGCTTTAGAATCAGCGCAAAAAGGGGCATAAACACAAAGAGCGGATCCGCTGAAACATCTGAATCAGCGAGCTGTCGGCTTTCAGCCCCGACCGTACCCGTGCCGTCGGGTGAGAAAGGCGACATCTCACTGATTCTGATCCGTGGTCCGCTCTTTGTGTTTACGTCTTTGTGCAGAAGCCGTGTACCTGCTTTCATTTGCCGTTTTAAATGTTTGGTGGTTGTCAGAATTTTGTGACGTTTCACCTGAGATTCTGGAATTTTGGGAAAAATACATTTATATTTAAAAAAATCGATTCAGGATTTTAATGAATCGATATCACGTTATCCAAGCCAGAATCAATTTTAATCGATGAATTGATTATTAAAATCCACCCCTAGTACTGCGGCAGTCATACAGACAACTGGACGGTCCAAAAGTTGGCCTACCTATTACTGGCTGAGGTTTTAGTAGAGTTGTGGCTGAACTACATAAAAATATATCATTAATTTTAATCTCCCCAATCAATGATAATGTTATGTTGGAATGTTGTTAAAGAGGGTCAAAAATGTTTCAACCCAGTTTTTTTTATTTAGCAGATTCTGTATAGCACCTTTAATATAGGGGGAACACAACTTCCAGGTTTTTTCTCTTTGTCAGTTTAACAGGTTCTGTTTTGCCTGTCACTGTTCCCTGTCTGTTTTCTTACCTGGTTCTTACTTTCCCCTCACATTCCCCTCTTTCCTCTCTCCCTCTTTGGACTGACAATCATACACAAATAGATTGTATACAATTAGATGAAAAATTACATTAATATAAAAAAATACTATTAAGATCACTAATGAAAAAGTCCTCTCTCAGTGTACTTTCAACCAAAAGGCAAATAACCAAACCACATCTAATAAAAGATATAATTATTCAAACACTGATCCAACATTATTCCTGATTCACGGATCATTTGATTTTACACTTTTACCTGAATGTGGCTCCTGTTTTTGAAAAAAAACTTCCTTATATCCCTTATAAACCTGGCTGTCTCTCTGTACACACACACAACAGGAGTTATAAGGTTAATGGGCATTCAGTCAGTTAGCTAGTTAGTATCCATTTCTAACAGGACAGTGGTAACAACTTTAGGCTACGGACAATTTTAAGTTTTAGATTTGAAATAGGCTGTATACATTTCAATGGGAGCAACAGGACGGTCAAATGTCGCCGATTTTACTACAGAGCAGTAGCAAACACTGTCGGAAAACACGTTTTCAACACTGCAGGTTACCTGGTGTAATGTTTTTCAGCTAAAAAGAAACATGGTCTGACTCCTTCCTAACTATATAAAGAGTAACTGAAGGTTAAATGTAGCTAGTTTTAAGCCAGGCACTTACACATCCGCTCAGCTGCGTCTCAGCCACCATCACTCTGACATATGATGGGTCTATCGGTATTGTTTGTATGGGTCCCGGCTCACTATGGGGTAAGGGGGAATGAAGCAGCGGACAGGTTAGCAAAGGCAGCCACTAATCATGAGATAGTTGATCTGGCGGTGAATTTTGGTCAGGAGGAAGTAAAGAGTATTATTAAGCTAGAAATGAGGGGTAGATGGCAGAAACAGTGGGAAGAAGACAGGAGGGGAAGGTGGTTATATAAAATTCAAAGGGGGGTGGGAGTGAGGAGATCCACAAGAAGGAGTAGGCGAGAGGAGGTGGTGGTGGTGTCAAGACTGAGATTTGGGCATACGGGTTTGAATTCCACACTGTTCTTGATAGGGAAACATGCATCAGGGAAATGTGATTATTGTGGAGCGGATGAAACTTTGGAGCGTGTTATTTTGCAGTGTCGGAATTATACGGTAGAGAGGAGACGGTTGGTCCAAAATCTCAGTAGCATTGCTATGAAACTTGATCTTGTAGGGTTACTGCAGAAGGAGTCAGGGGATAAATGTTATCAGGCATTGTTTCAGGTTTTGAGAGAAGGAAGGTTGTTTGGGAGGATATGAAGTGGGTTTTTTTGTTTGTTTGTATTTTGTTTTGTTTTTTAGCGTGATTTCTGTCCACACTCCATACCAGTGGTGTCGGTAATGCACCATGCAGTTGTTTGCCAACCGCCAATAATACGTAAAAGAAGAAGAAGCAGCGGAAAAACGTGCGAGAGAGAGCGTGAGAAAAATAAAAAAAATAACAATCTATTGGGAGCGGTTTCGCGTCGCTCACTTCAAAGATCTGGCTCTCCTCACTATTTCCCCTGTTTAAAGTAAGTGCCATGCACAGATCTGTATAAACGTGGCAGCATGTGTTACTGTTGCTTGTTAGCCCATTATCATTGTTCGTTGTAGCGGAAGATGTGAATTGCGGACTGTTTTTGCTGAAAACCTCTGTTGTTGTGTATGCTTGTTTTCGCAATTACTCGCCATATTGTGTGAAGATTTTTTTCTGTTACTGTCTGTAAAAGTTAACTACTGAACGACATGCAGTACTTAAAGTATTATTTCATTGCTGTGGAAAGTTCGTGACTGTGTCAGCTAACATCTGCAAGTTAAAAATATGTTTTTGTCCGTTAATGTTATGTAAAGTATTGTCACTATATACAGACGCGTGAGAGTGAGAGCTGCGTGTCCGTGCCATTCTTTCACTTCTCCTCACTATTTCCCCTGTTTTAGGGAACAACATTGGTCTGTTTCCTCTCTAATCATTCTGACAGTTTTTATAGGACAGTCCTTCATTTCACAACTGTGCTCCAAAGCTGAATTTGTCACTATCATGCAGTCAATTTATGTGCTTTACATCCCTCATGTCAATCACCATCTTTGTGCCTCACAGGAAAATTGAGGGTCAGGTGTTTGTTGGAGAGGTGAAGGAGAAAGAGAAAGCTAAGAAACAGTAGGAGAAGGCTGTTTCCTCTGGACAGACTGCTGGACTCGTCAAGTGAGTCGTCGGATTGTACAAATTAACTGGAGCTGTTAATGTGTGATAGTGTGATAGTCTTGTTGTTGTTGTTGTTGTTGTGTTTTTACTTTTTTAATTTGTTTTTATTTGTTTACAGGGCTTCTGGAAGAAAGCACTGTAGTTTTCAGTCTCTGTCAATATGGTTGGGGAAGCCTGCAGTCAGCTGAGACTGAAGAAGTCACTTGGATGAGTGATGAAACGTTTCTCCCACTGAAAACGTTACGTCCAGATGAACAGAACCAACTTTTTCAGATTTCTTTCTTGATCTTGAAACCATGGATGTCGATTTTATTGTCACTTTGCTAAGTGTTTAAATAAGTGTCGATTGGATTCACTCTCCCAGACTTCCACAAACTAGCAAATATTATCTTTGTGGTTCACAGCACCTCACAGCCTCCTGGACACTGAGCTTAGGGCA